TGGCTCAACCGTCTCTAGTGCCGACCCCTCACCTTAGCGGCATGTGCTCCGGTTGTATTGTAAACAACGGCGTCGTTAATATCGCTTATCAGTTTGAGCCCGATTGAGAAGCAGAGGATATTATTGAAGAGGATCGTGCAGTACCTGTGCAAGCACGGCTTTTAATGGTAGGCCTATGTTTTTTGATTGTTGCTGTCTCAAACTTTTAGATACGCTGTTATTTGTAAATGCTACTGCTTAGGTTAGCTTTTATATACGGTTTTATCCTGATTAAAGCTTTAATACAGTACGGCAACTGCACGCACGTCCATGTTTAACGCTTCTCATAGCTATGTGAAAATAAGTGTATAATTGTAACAGTTCATTGCTGGAGCTGAGCTGAATGGGAGAGAGAGAGAGAGAGAGAGAGACATGAACCCGGGAAGTAACTAGTTGTAGTCCCTACCAGCTGTTTTTGTAGGCATTAAACTGCCAGAATTTTAAAAGACGATATCACCGTTTGCATTGAACTTTCAGCTTCGTAACTTTGCAGATATTGTTTATGCTCAAACAGCAACATTAGACACTAACTAACATTAAAAAAGTGAAATCGCAATGAACCACCCCTTTAAGTTGCATTCAAAATTCACAGAAGAGCCAGGATCAAGTGATCTGGATCATTTCCTGAACCGATTCCCTCTTTCTTTCCTATCAAAATCAAATGAGCAACATTACCCTCATAAAGAAGGAGCACAGCCTCTGCCGTACTGCTGGGTGGCGCTGTCTCCACCGGCCTTTGTAGCTCCAGGTTGCGAGCGTTGATGTTAGCGCCTAAATCTAGCAGCACTCTGATGATTTCTGGAAAGTCCTTCTGTGCTGCAGCGTGCAGTGGTGTGTCAAGGAAACGGCCCTTCTGCACATTCGCTCCTAAGAAAAACAGATTCATTTATGATAGGGTAAAATAAAAACTAAAGAAAAGTGAGATGATCTGAACTCACACCAAAATACACCCAAGTAATTTAATTTCTTTTTTGTGTAGTTTGAACAGTAAAAGTGTGCACACAGCCACATCAAACTCACCTCCATCCAGAAGTTTCTGTGTACACTGGAGCTGCCGGGAGACACAGGCAATGTAGAGAGGTGTTCCTAGATGAGGGATGTCGAAATCTACATCTGCTCCCCACGAGATGAGAGATTCTATACATGCTGCCTGGCCTGAGACAACAAGAACATGTATGTTTACATTTTTGTAACTTCTGCTATAAATACTATACATTCAAATCAACTGATTGTTTTGTGGTTAGACTAGAGCGGTTACCTGGCAAGCAGAACTGCGTACCTTTGCTAGAGGCCTCATGAATGGGCGAAGGCTGGAACGCTTCTGCCTGTGGTTTTGCTCCATGTTCCAAAAGCACCTCTGTGCAGGTGACACTTCCTGCCGAGCATGCGTTAAACAGTGGGGTCACGCCGTCAATAGTCGTAGCATTCACCTGCCACATACAAGAATATTTAAACAGCACAATCTGCACAAACAGATCAGTCTGAGCATAGTCTTCTATTATACAAAAAGCAAGAAAACACAAAGTCTTTCCTGAAACAATTAAGGAAGCCCGGGGTTCCTTAAGGGAAGTTATCAGAAGTGGCTATATTTCAGTAACTATATGGTTTGGAGATAAAATTCCAATTATATAATTTATTTTGTTCCTTTAGAAGTTTAGTTGGTTCCAAATTTCTAATTCAAAACTATTAAAGTTGAATTATTTTGTGAATTTTATCTTCCAACTTTACATTCCATTATCAACATATTTTTGCTATAGCCGTAGACACGCGAAAAAAATAAAAGCACACTGGCAAACATTTAAGCAATGATCTATTGTATAATATATAATATATATATATATATATATATATATGATTAAGCAAAAGACTGAACCATGTACTCATGACAACAGTATATTTCGGAAATGTCAAGTCAGAGTAAGCTGTGGTTTTTATTGGGGCTAGTTGTCATGTGTTTTTAATATTATAAATGCATGCAATTTATTAAATTAAATATAAAATATTATGTATAATATTTTACATTTAATTATAATATACAATTAATTATTGAAAATAAACATTTAAATATTTGATGGGTAAAACAATGGTATTTTTATATACCTTTTTTTAATAATTACTGATATGCTGTTTAATAACTGTAACTCACATTGGCACCGGCTTCTATGAGAGCCCTGGCACATGCTACATGATCTCCCAGACAAGCTTCGTGCAGTGGAGTCACATGATCAATGGTGATGATATTTGCACTGTAACCCTGGTAATATGGAGAGAAAAAAACACAAAGTATTTTTTAGAAATGCTAACATATTAATTCGACCTTTTTTAACAATTTCTGTTCCGTTTCTGTATGTGCATATATTTGTAAACCTGTGAGAGAAGAGTCTTAAGCGCCAGAAGTCGACCCTGACATGCAGCTTCATGAAGTGGAGAACGATCCGCCCATGAACCTGTGAACACACATCAAATTATTCATAGTGATAAACAAATGTACTGACACCCAACTGTTTCCCATGACTAATAAATGCCCTTTTATCTCAGAAAAACAAAACTACAAAACAAAAAAAAAAGTTGAATGAACAATTATCAAAGGTTACATTAACATAATTTACAGCAACCATAATTTGCTGTATTTAAAAGCCAACCAATAGTTATAAAAGCACTACCATGTAATTCAAGGGCTTTAAAACACCCACTCAGCCACAGTCGGACTTCATATAATTTCCAGTACATTCTCAAGTGAGAGTGGTGTAAGTACTAGTGATTTTGACACTGCCCATTGACAGCTGTTGAGCACAGAGCCTATGAGTGGAATTGCTCAAAATGGCAAAGCATTATCATCTACCATGAGTGGATCAGCTCTCTAGATACAATAAAGGTCGACTCATTTCAACTGTTGAGCCATTTGAACAGATTCCCCTGTGTTGCTTCAGTACGAAATAAAAATGAAATGATTTCACTACATAAAATGCACAATAAAAAAACGGACAGTTATCTTATCGGTATGTGGGAATGAAAGCAATAAGAGCAATATTCTTCTCCTTTAAAGGCAGCAATATTGTTTCATGTATAAAGGATGGAATTACAAGACACCTCACATAGCAAAAGCCCATTTACATAAACTCAGTGGATGTGCAGTCCTTGGTGTTCTAATCTTTAAACATTATTCCTAGGCAGCAAATGCCAGGGCTCTCCATTCCTGGGAACGGGGCATTTTGGATAGCATGTCTTTTCCATTATGTGTTCAAGCGGAAGCCATGTCAGTGTCAAAGTATTCTCTACCAGCTTAACTCTTCAGAAAGAGCTAAAGGGTCATTCCGTGTCAACTCAACCAGAGGTCCCCGGCTCAAATTTTTGATTTTGTAATTTTTTTTTTTTTCTGGTGAAAGAAATACCTAAATGAAGAATAATGCCAAAATATCAAATTTCATTGATGCATATTTTCTGAGTAAGCCAAAATGATCATTTTCACCTGAGATTCAGAGCCAAATTACAGGGGGTTAAAAAGACTTCAGAAAGATGGCAGCATCATTATGTTATGTTTACACATAGATTGGTAGGTCTACTAGTATAATCTGTTGATTTTAGCTATTTTTGTTGCATTACATGCCAATGGTGACCATTCAAAATGGGGAAAAAGCACTTCTCTAATTTTTTCTCCAAAGTTTGCATGCCTGTAACTCAAGAAGTATTAATATCTTAATGCCCTTTTAGATATTGGGTCTTCTTAACCATTTTTTTCTTTTGGCATCTTCATTTTTAAAGTTAGACATCTATATTAAAGATATCTCAATATGGATTTTAGATTCTAGTTCTTAATAAACTTTTCTTTTGGAATCTTAATGGTCAAGGCCCTATATAATTCAGTCCCAGAGATATGGATCTAGAATTATAGCTTCTTTGCCTCTATCAAAACAATTGCATAGAATATACCTGTCTGATTGCTAAAAATGCACTGAAATGGTGAAAAAGTTGAGGCACAATAACTTGCTCTCAGTAGTCTATTCATAAGATTCTAGATTTGAATCAGTTTCAGGGATATTTGGAATAATTTTTGTTGATTTTAACTGCTTCTAAAGCTACCAAGAGTTCAGATATGCAGTATCTCAACTACATGTCTGAAATCTCTTAACATAATAATAACATGATCATAGCATAACATAATGATGCTGCCATCTTTCTGAAGTCATTTTAACCCCCTGTAATTTGGCTCTGAATGTCAGGTGAAAATTGTCATTTTGACCCCCCTCTACAAAATAGTGGATTACTCAGTAAATATACATTGATGACATTTAATATTATGTCTTTCATCACTATGCATGTTTATTATTCTTCAGAAAAAATATTGACAAAAACAAAAATTTGAGCCAGGGAAATTTGGTTGATTTGACACGGAATGACCCTAAATTTTTAATAAATTGGTGAGCAGTAATTTTGTGCTAAAAAAAATATAATACATTTTTAAAAAGTTTCATTTCCAAAAATAAATTATCAATTATGCATTTTCGATTCAGATGTATTTGTAAAGTGCTTCTCAAAATAAAATAATAAAATAAATAAAAAATTCAAAGCAATGTGTTAACAATGTTTATGTTAAACAAATTTGATACATATTTTAGTTAACAATTTAACATCAATATCCCTGAAAAAAAAATCATAATAATTTGAACAAATTTTTAAAAATATATATTTTCTCAGATTTTCCCCTAACACCTCCCTGCAACCTCCTGGGCATCCCCAGACCGCATTTTGAAATTTCCTCAATTAAACAACTGCATCAACCGACTGACCACAGTAGCAACAACACAGCTACCAACAACACTGTCTTCAGACATTTTATATTTAGTAAGAACAAGAATCATATGTATAACAGAACAGTTGTGAGGGTGTTATATATGCCTTAATACACAGTACTTATAGCTCCTACCGTAGATTCAGAGTGGATTGAGCAGGAGCTCAATCTAGCCACAACAACATACAACAACTGCTTTCTGCAACTGCCATTCCTGGCACAGAACGAGGCCTAAGAGCAAGAGGTTCTGTTACGTACCCATGTCTCCGTCGCCCCACGGCACATCTAGCCATTGATATGAATACGCCATAGCCTGTAAATGAAAGAACGGCTGTCATCTTCAGGCGCAAAAAAGCAGCCGTCTTCTCTTTTCAGCTTAGCTGAGCGAAGGAGATGAGTTACTGCCACTGAGATTCCAGACTGACATGTGGAACTTTAGGTCACAGCTGTGCCTCAGGCAATTCCAATGATACTAGTTTACTAGATGCTAGTATCATTTAATGATGCAATTTGTGTGATTTTGTGTTTTCTTGTGCATTTAAAAGAATATATGCCATTTAAATATGAATTAGTTAAAACTACGTCATTAGTATGTCAGAAAAACATACTGGCACTGCTCAGTATGAATGCTGGCTGTTAAACAGTCTTTATTGAGACTCTGTGAAAGCTTTCATGAATATTTCAGATCCTGTTCTGTTTATGTGACTACAGCTGGGCTCCATGGAGACTAGGACCACTTGTAACTTCCTTGCTTAGCCTAAGCAAGGAAGTTACAAGTCAGTAAGACAGTACTATTCAACTATTCTATGGCACATGGCAGTGATATAAAGGAATCCCTCCCCCTACACAGTACAGGACCATGTCTAATGCATAATGCAGAAGGAGTCCAAACACATAATAGCCTATACTGTGTTTACTTGAACACTGATGGCCTTTCTAAGAGGGTTCAAATATAGCCGAACTAGAAATAACTAAACTTAGCTGTGTGCAGCAATAAAAACACTAAAACAACACAATTTTTTACCTTAAACTAATAACTACAAGGCCAAGTACACTACATGATAAACACATTACATAGTGCATGCTACTATTTATATGTTCCTATACTTACTATATGCATAGTCTGCAAAAAAGCTAGCCAGTTTTGTATTTGGGTTGTGGGAAATATAGGAAAGATTAACCAGGCTTTGGAACAAAATGTTCTTTATTTTATCCACCACTGCAAACTATAAATGACCAATAACATAACAACAAGCGCAGATCAGCTTTGCATGACTATCCGCAGTACTGTTTCATTCACTTCATTCTGCTCTGTTGAGAATGCTTGCAGGTGTGCGTGCTTCTGACTGACACTGTATGTAGTTAATATCCATCCTCCAAACTTTATTCCATTCAGTTTTAATATTTTTATTTAATAATGTTAACATAATATGTACAGGCTAAATATAAAACAATATTAATGATTATATTAACAATTATTAATATTGAGAATGTCATTAATAATATATATTTTTTATATTATTTATCTAATATTAACTTAATTATTTTTTTTGTCATTTTAGACAGAAGGTCCGCCCTTATACAAAAGCATTACTGCAAGGTGGCAGCAGGGCGCAATATAAAGGCACATTTATTTACACGCGTCGATAACTCACCTTGACTAATCAAAATACCCCAGCGCGATTTCTTTTTCTCAGAAAAATCGTCGTCGTCCTCTCGCTTTCTTTTCTTGGGAGTATTATCTGAGTACTCGGGTTCTCTGCAGGGAACTTCAGGCATGTTTGCATCAGCTCTGTGTCCTCCTCCTTGCACAGTGTAGAGCGAGTTTGACCAGCGCCCCTTTTTGATTGGCTGCTCGGCTTGTTGTTGTTGTTTCAGATCTGAGCAAGTAGGGGTGACTGCAGGCTGGAGCAGTGGGCGTGGCGAAATATTAGGGCGTGCCGAAAGGTAGGGGGCGTGGATAAAGGTATTCTAATTGGTTAGGGTTATGGTTAGGGGTAGAGTTCCGTCACGGCTCTGGGTTCCGTGTTGGCTACAGCAAATATTTCGCTTATGAATATTAATCAGGTCACGCTGACGTTGCTTGCTAAATTTTTAAGGAGCGTCTGATCACGTAAACTAATATTCATAAGCCGAGCCTTTGCCATAGTAGAATGATGAACGCCCACTTACTACGATTACGCCTACAGGGCGCACGTAACCTAACGTAATTTATATTCATGAGATAAATATTCGCCATTGTACCAAGTCCTTGTCCGTTAAACTATTTATATCTCAGGTTAAGATTAGAACGGTGCCACTATTATTCCCACGCAAGTAGCTAGTAATAGAGTCAGGATTTTCCCCTCTTACACCCTTAACATTTATCAAAAATAGATGTATTGTAAAATGTGTGACCGTTTTAAATTGTTTTAACGTTATGTCACACGTCCTTTGCATCATATAGGCAAGATCTGACTGACACCCCAAACATTTCAGTTTGTCTGTTGTTGTCAGAAGCCAAGCTGGTTGCGGATAATGGATAATTCAGCATTCATCTAATTTGTTTAGGATTTCACATCAGGTCATTTGCATGTTATTAAGGTCATAATCTGCAGGACACCGGCCCTCCAGGACCGAGTTTGGACAGCCCTGATATAGGCCTAGGGCAAAAAAAAAGACAAAAGGAGTGAGAATCGAATACAAACAGAGAAACATTTCCACAGACAAAATCACTATTTTTATTTAGACTTCAAACAGTAAAAATTATATAATGAATAGATGTGAGGGATGCATTATACTATATAGTTTATTGCACTAAACATTTTCATTCAGCCATTTACAAAATGCTATGAGCATTTTAACTTCGTGTTAGATAAGAACACACTGACCCAGTTTTCTCAGTGTTACAAACTGGGCCATGCTGCAGAAGCTTTCTCTTTCACACCCTATACAACCAGTAAAAGTTTTAACAGTGTGCTTTACAAACAGACATAAAGACCCTATATAGTGACTCAGAACGTGCTCCAAAACATATAGCCTCAATACGTTCCATTCTTGCCTACTTACTGTGCCCTTGGCCAAAATCGTAGAACTCAGCTGCGATCCGGGCCGCCTCCTTACGGTTTCCTTTAACCACATAGAAGTGGGTCAGTATGTTTAAGCTGATCTTGACAAAAAGTTTAAAGCAAAAAAGGACAAAAATTGAGAGATAGACATTGGTATACTGCGAGCCGAAAGGCCGCTCCTCCAAAATCTCAGTCATTGCTGCTACTCAGTGACAGTGAATGTTTTGGAATGGGATCCAGGGATGTGTTGATGGGGATCATATGCCAGGCCAGCCCAGTTATTCCCCAAGGCAGCTGGGCCCAGAGTAGAGATGAAATAAGGCATCTGTACTTTTAGCTAGTGGAAAATGGGACACTTGACTGAGGCATAACAATATAACTGTTGTCATTTGTTGGGATGTTTGTCTCATGATACATTGTGACAGCTTTGTTTTCATTATACTCTTTGTATTTTAACATATTGTTGCTATAGAGTAATAGCCTCTGATGACAGCTTTTTTAAAGTATTTTTGTTTATGTACCATTGCCATTGCAGAAAAAATACCCTGTTCACAATCAGCCATGATCACACTTATGACAGCCATGAAGTTCAAACCGGAAACCGTAGCAAAACAGTGCACACCGGTTTGAGCTTGAACTTGACCCAGAAGTAGCCTATTTGGTTGACCATGTGATCCATGGGAGCTTTATCATATTTTGATGAGTATTAATACAGTGATTTACGCCGAAAGGATTTTACAAACAATATAATTTTGCTTTATATATTTTTTAAGAGATTGTGTAAGTGGTGCTTCTGAGGAAATATGTTAAAAACAGCACATTTATAGGAGATATTAATATTTCTACACACATGTGTACTAATAGACATTATAACAGGTGAATCAGCTTCTCATAAAAGCTTATTGTGGACAAATGAAAATAATTTTATTTTTCTTTTACAAATTGTATTTTTTGGGGGAAATTCCACATACACAAATGATCAGGGTCATTTCCTGCAGGAGACTTTTTTAAAGTAATATAGACTTTTAATCAGTAGTTATGTACACTCTGTTGCACATTTTTCTGTTAACTTTACATTTTTGTAAAACCGTTGTATACTTTTTGCTCTTTGACTGTTGATGCAATTCCACTGCCTGAACACTGGGTGTCAGTATGCACTTTCCAAAATGAAACAGGAAGTAGGTCTTGCTTCCGAATAATCTTTTAACTGCCTCACTTCCTGCTCTGAACCTCCGCTCGGAGTGTTACAATAATATATCGTTGTTTTGCAATACATTGTTGTAGTTTGATCAGAACTAGATTGAATTATGAATACGGTATTGTCGAGGGCGAACTCGCTCTTCGCCTTCTCTCTCAGTGTGATGGCAGCTCTCACATTCGGATGCTTTATTACTACAGCCTTCAAAGATAGAAGCATACCGGTGGATATACACGTATCCAAAGTCATGATGTAAGTTAACTGCACCGTTTCTGAGTCTGCGTCCACAGGAGCGATATGAAATCAGTGTTAATCTCATCAAAACATATTTGATATACACGAGGCACCATCGTCCGTTTCAGAATCTATTGTTTTTTTGCAGCATATGGGACTTGTGGATGCTGCTGACCTGGCGGCCAATAGCAGTGCAGCACATCAGCTATGCAAATTAAACGAATATAGAGAATTTTATAGTTTTGTTCACCAATATTTTAATCTGTATCTGAAACTTTAAAAGATAGAAAACATTACACCGTCATAGGATTCCCTGTTAGCATGTATTTTATTTTTTACTATTACTTTCTTTACTTTTGTACATTTTGAATGTGAATGGGCTGTCAGGTTGCAGGTTTGAATGTAGCTTCATCTTGTCACACACATCTAAGCAGAGAGGCACTTTACTTACCCTCTCATTTTCTGTCTTCTTTCTCCAGTAAAAATGTAGACGACTTCACAGGACCACGAGAGAGGAGTGACTTGGGCTTTGTGACATTTGACATCTCTGCTAATATCCTTTTGACAGAACAGACCACTGCTGTGCCAAAAAATTACCACCGTATAGATGCCAAAAATAAATAAATAAAATGTAATTAAATTAATACCACTACTATAGGCTGCAGTTTCTACGGAAGCCCGTTTATGCAATGAAAAAAAAAAAAAAGTGTAATTGTGACTCACAATTCAGGCTTTTTTTATTGCATTTCTTAGACCAAAAAAAGTCAGCATTGCAAGTTGTAACTCGGAATTGTGAGGAAAAACTATGTTCGAATTCTTATTTATTAAAGTTTATATCCAGCCATGGAATAAAAAACAGAAAAGGTAATTGTAACTTTTTATAGTTTGAAGTTTTGAGTTTATATTTTGTAAATACAAGGAAAAACAATAAAATTGTGAGATATAGACTAAACGTGCAATTCTGAGAAGAAAATTCGGAATTGCTTTCTAAAACCGTTTTTATTCTGTATTGGAAAAAAGCTTCCAAAAGTTTCAGATTTGTAAGTATAATTTCAGTTTTTCCTGTATTTAAGGTTTCTTTATTCACTGTTTTATATTTAGCATTTTTTCTGCACATGTAATTCCAGTGTAAATGCATTTATGCCACCTCAGTGCACCATTCATCAGATTTGGAAATGCCTTTTTGTGGTATATGTGCCAGATTCAGTTTTGTAATGCAGTTTACACCTAGAACTAGATTTGCATTATTTGCCTTAACTGCTTTATAACATCTGCAGCCAATATTTGACTGGAATGTAAAGGAGCTCTTTCTTTACCTGACTGCTGAATATTCAACCAAAAGCAATGTAAGTCTTGAGCGCTTCAGTCTATCCAGGGAGTCAGTGGGCCTGGCAAATACAATTAACTGTTTTTTTTTTATATAAATTTTTTGAGAGCTGGGTATTTGTTGTGTTGTAGATTGTAATATTTCAGACCTGTTTGTGATTTTCATATCAGTAAAGAGTCTTTATCCCATGCTAGGCACTGAACCAGGTGGTGCTATGGGACAAGATTGTCTTGAGAGGTGACAACACCAAACTAAACCTGAGGGATGTTAAATCCAAGTACTTCTTTTTTGATGATGGGAATGGTCTAAGGTTAGTTGCTTTTTCTTTATTTTTTATTTTCTTTCACTATTTTAAACTTGTTTATATATATATTTGTTATTGAATGAATCCACTTTTTTGAACAAATTGAGTAAGCCAATGATTCAGTGACCCATTCATGTCTCGTTTGCCACGGCCTCAAGCGCTGTTGAAGGACGTCTCAGTTTGAAAGATCATTAGTAGTCAGTCTTTGTTTTGCGTCCTTCGTTTGGCCTGTTTTGAAGGATGTATCCGGTTTATCCTTCGCATTCTTCTGTTTCCCACAATCCTTTGCACACATTCACGAAAAATAATTAGTTGAAAATGAATCAGCACTGAGCTTGTTCAATTTCATTATGTAATGCAAGTCAAACAAATGACTTTAAAGATGAAGGCATTATTTTTTTCTTTTGTTTTGTTGTAAATAAATCACATAATGCTAAACTGTGCATGTAAACCACTGGGAGACACAGATGGTTGTCATAACCAGAACTGCATTAATAAAAAGTCAGATAATATAAAAAAGTCAATATAAAGTATTTTTTCAAGTAGTATTTTCATGCCATGACCATGGGGGCAGGAACTAGATATTGGACAAGATATTTGACATAAAGAACTGAAAGGTATGGGATAGGAATTGACTAATCTCTCTAATATCGCTCTGTTTTTAATACAGGTCGAATAAGAACATCACTCTCACTCTCTCATGGAATGTGGTGCCAAATGCTGGAATCCTGCCATTGGTCATGGGTTCAGGACACAAGAGTCTGGCCTTCCCTGAATCATATGAAACCGCAAAGAGCTACTGAACTGTTCCGGCCCATTCCAAATCATGTTGTGCCCTGTACGGTTTTTAATAAAAGTTGACAAATTGTTTTAAGGAGTGGCTGTTGTTTAAGTGGGTTAAGAAAATAACTACAGCATATATATATATATATATATTAAAAGAAAAATAATTCTCTGGTTTTTCATAATTACCTCATGCAGATAGTAATATTTTTATTCAAAAATTGTGTGTTTTGGATAGTTAGAAAACATCAATTTGTCAAAGAAAACTTACATGTAATAACCAGTTAACCCTTTGGCATTGTTCATTTGGGAGTTGTGTTGTTTGTGGTCAAAAGTAATTTTTTTTTCTTTTTTCAGTGAAATCAATGCAATGTACTATTTAATATTTATGCAATAATTATGATCAATTTTTTCCCATTGAAAATAATACAAAAAATTTGTTCTAATATTTTTGTTACTTTTCAATTATGGCAGTATTTCATGTTAAAATAGAGACAATGCCTTTAAAATCCAATTTTTGAAGGCAGATTAGTTCCATCCGGTGGGAGTAAATAAAGAAAATAAAACATCTGAAATTTCGTGGTATAGCCATAGGTTCCTATAGAGCTCTATATAAAAGGCTTATAAATTCTCTAGTTGTTTTTAGACATAAATTCTTTTTTTTTTTTTAAGTTGTGGATTTGGATTTATATTTAGACATTTTCAAAGACAACTTTTTGTAAAGGTTTAGATTTTTTATTTTATTTATTTTTAAATATTGGTATGAAATGTCAGTTTTTGCATTAATTTTACAAAAGTCAAACCTAAACACAGAGAAAGACATTTTGTTACACATAACATCAAAATTCAACAAAAATGAACAGGAATGCTTTATCAGAGGTGAATCTGATAAATATTTTGCCATATTGTTATAGCCACATCAGTTCATTTGTGTGTTATGGGCGTCGGAAGCAACAAAAATGTGGGTGGGTCCAACATAGTGTAACTGTAATTCAATGCTGCAACAAAGACTATATGATGTCTTTAAAAGCAACAGGCGAACAAATTATGAACATTCACTAAAATAACAGCTTGTTTAGTGACAGTATGTGAGCACACAGCCAGACTCACCTGAGCAGCAGAGATGCTAATAATTGTTTACCTTGCTGTGTTGAGGGAGTGCAGCAGGCACGAGTAGTGAAAACACAGAATGGAGTTTAATTTATATGGACTCTGAATGAACCAAGTGGAATGGATTTAAGGAAGCAGCAGCGTGGAAGTCAAGGCTGTAGGTAAAACACAGAATGGAGTTTAATTTATTTAATTGTTTAATTTATAATTCTCTGTATTTTCGTATTTTTGCGTTTTCCCATTCATTT